AAGGTTTATTTTCTTAAGTGCTACACTCGTTATAACGATTGCATATACATACAAATTACATTATCAATGTTGATCCCAAAACAAGTTGCGAACCCTACACATAATTCTACGAATTGGGAATAATTCCAGTTGCAGTCGGCAGTGGTGTAACAGCACACATTTCAAAGCAGATACCGAAGGACGCTTATGATTTAAATCCCGCAGAAATTTTGTGAAACTTTTTTTTTTTTTTGGTGGATATTTAAAATTAGACCTCGATAAATTATTCATGAAGCGAAATCGGGCTTGTATTAGTTTTTTTCTGATGAAACCCACCAACCTGCTTACGGAAGATTGATCTAAAAGAGACCCTCACAAATTGTGCATGATGAACTGTAACAGTATCAAGACCATAAACGCTATTCACACTTTCAACCGTCTGGCTTGCGTTTTCGCCCTTACCGAAGATAACTGTAAATATAGCGTATTTTCTCTTTGCTAGTGTCCATCTTTGACGCACGCTCAAACAAAACTGAATCAGCCAATCACAAAACTGCCATCTAGCGAAACCCGATCGGACTTGTACAACGCGGGATACAAATTAATAACGCTGTTCATTGGAAAAATAATGAAAAAATAATATGTTTACATATATAAGTATGTATAAACAACAAATAAAAAAAAAAATTGCAAATAACTAATTACTATGCTGCCCTTTGTTTTCCATTTTTCTCAAAATTTTTTATAATTTTTGGAAAAATTTTATATTTTTTTCACTCATAATTTCAATAGCAGAAATATAAAGCCATAAAATTCGCACTTTGTTGACAAAACTCTTAATCATTTCGCATTCAAATGCAAGCGAGAGTTCAAATAGGATCTAGTCATTTAAACGCTGTATCACGTACATCCTGACCACAACCGCGCGGCAAGTAAAACAGCAATAACCAAAAAATACTTACATTCGTGTGCATATGCACGTACATACATACATTTTGAAAGTAACAAATAACGCACATGAACATAACATATATAATTCAGAAGTTTGCTAAAGCGATTTGTGAAGCGGCAAAACCAATAGCTAACTGAACTCAAACAATTGCACAAAGCATAAATTTATATATGTATATGTATATACAAATATACACTCGTACGTATGCCATAAAGTGTACGAAAGTCATGTTTAATGCACAAATGTGAGTTAAACGTGTGGCCTTTTGGTGTGTAAAGTCTAAGAACTCAACTTATATGTGAGTAACTATGTACATATGTATATATATAATATATGAGGAGAGTTCTAAAAGCCCGTGAAATGGAAAATTTGTAAGTAAAATAACATCATAGCTATATTATTCTCATTAAAGTCAGTTGGAAAGCTTAAATTTGTCAATAAGAACCTCAAGGACTTAATCAGAATGATTTTAGTTTTGTACTTTTGACTTTGAGTTACAATAAATATTGTTGATAGAGACGACTGGTCACTAGTTAGGAGGCTACTAAAGTAGCGTCTTCCCTTCGCACCGTACTTTCAATCATGCAAAGATTTCCATTTCTTCTCGTCTATATGTATACGAGGTGTGACAATTAAGTAATGAGACTGATCCCATAAAAACCGTATATTTCAAAATTATTCTACAACTCTACCATTTCCTTCAAAGCAGTCCCCTTGGGCAGCTATGCAATGATTCCAGCACGTTTTCCATGCTTCGTAACATTTCTGGAACGCTTCGATATCCCGGAGTACCCCCGTCACAGCCGCCTGGATGTCCTCAATCGACTCTAAATGGGTTCCTTTGGCCAACGACGCTGATGGCGGTTGCCGTGATGTAGGATCCAGTAACGAGTGCAAATACATCAGTCAGAGGATGGCAAATACATCAGTGAGAGGAGAAGGATGCCGGGAGAAGGGCAGGGTTACCACAATCGCGGCAATATAATCAGTCTCATTACTTAATTGTCACACCTCGTGCATACTTATGGAGCGATATTTCTTGCTCTAACAGGCTATGAAAATCGAAAGGTTGTTCCCGTCAATCTGTGTTAACACCATAAGTATATAGGTATGTGTATTTGGGCGAACTTTTAACATATTGCTATGCTTATTTATATCGATTTCCGGTACAAAAAAGTATCGATAATACATATGTACTCTACTACTTTAAATTCCGCTTCATCTTCTTACCTTCACTTCGTTTGTATGACTTCCATTAAATCATAGAAATAAGCGATCTCGTACTCTCTACTTCCGGCGCTGCCGGGCAAATTATTAAAAAGGTTTATTGGATTGTACGCGTACCAACTTTGGCTTCATCTAAACTACATGTGCGTATATTAGGCTTGGGAGTTGGATTTACTTTAGTTGCCTGAAAACTTGTAGTTTAGATTCCATATCAAACACCATTTTTATGCGTTTGTCTGTCATAGATTTTTTTTTAGTAAAATACAAACACATTTTGCATGCATAACTATGTAAAATAGTATATTTTATACTTCACCTAAACTCTGCAACCCTTAAGGTCTATCGACCCTCTTCAAACACTTCTTGACACTTTAAATTAATTTTCGGTTCGTAACCTCTTACTTTCATTGATTACTTTCGAGTCGTGAATTTATATAGACACCGGCAGGCTCACATGCGAAGATATCAATTTCTGATTGTCACTGTCCTTCAGAGTAAATTAATAGCGGTAAATTTAATGAATTCCGCAGAACATACTTTAGTATTTGCTTCAGTTGGCAAGTTAATTAAATTGCTATTAATTTCTGGGTTTGCGAAGTAAAGCAAACCGTTTTTTAGTTTCCATATTGCATACGGATATTCACATACATATTAGTAAAAAGTTCATTCGGAGCTGGCGTTTTTGTTCATAGTATTACTGTTACGTGTCGCATCATGTCATACTACACGGCGCTGAAAACGTGTTCATTCGTGCTAAAAGTTTGTCATTGACAGTTTTTTGATTGATTGACTCAGTACGTTGTGAGCTCTCGTCAAAGGTGGACACCAGCAAAGAAAAAATTCGCTATATTTTACAATTTTTCTTCGATCAAGGCGAAAAAGCAGCCAAAGCGGCTGAAAATGAACGTGTAGCAAGGAATCATCTACTATGAGCTGCTCCCCTATGACCGAACGCTCGATTCGGTCATCTACAGCCAACAATGAACCGCTTGAAGGCAGCGCTCATTCAGAAGAGGCCATCTTTGATCACCAGAGACCGAATTGTGCTCTATCAGGACAACGCCAGGCCATACACGTCTTTGGTGACGCGCCAGAAGCTCTAGGAGCTAGGATGGGAGGTCCTAACCTCATAGTCCAGACCTGGCATCAAGCAATTACCATCTTTTCCTGTCCATAGTGATCGCGCTTAATGGTTAGAAGTTGGCCTCAAGAGAGGCCTGTGAAAATTTGCTCTTCAAGTTTTTTGCTAATAGGGACGCAGGCTTCTACGAGAGGAACAAGCTTACGAACAAAACGGCGCATATTTGACAAATGTACACAAAGCTATCATATCTTGAAAAATCAATAAATTAAACCGAACGAACTTTTTACTTAGCCGAATATGTACATTAGCATATGACAAACTACTTATCTAAAAACTTTAACCGAAAAACAGTATGTCATTTCAAAATGGCAGAGTACAGTCAACTGTAAACGTCAAAAAAATTTCATTAAAAACTTGTATACCCATAAATACATACATATACATATATGTTTCGTAAAAATATAAAATTTTACATGTAATTAATATTTATATTATTTACATATGTATATTTCAATTGGCACTACTTTTTATATTTCTTTAATGTGATGTACTAGTAACGCATAAATCTGCCTTTATCAGCTGACATTTAACAACTTCAATTACGCGCCTGCAACAAGGACACACACCCACACGTGAGCACGCACTCGCAATCACATATTGTCACACCCACTATTTTGTATAGCGCTTACATTAATGTATGTTTCATAGCAAATGTCAGACTAACAATTTACAACAACATGCAAATGACAACTTAATTAAAACGTAGCAGACCTGCGGCAGCGAGTTGGCGATTATGCGCATTCAAGTGTACACATGTTCGCGCTTAAGCACTTGCAAGTGCGTGTGTGGCTGTGTGTTGGTCAGGAAGGGCATATGTAAGTGCGCGTATAGACGCAAAAGCGACGCACAAATGCCAGTGATTGTTTTTGTATGTATGTGTGAAACGTAGGCGGGGTTGTCGGTGTCCACTAAGTTTGTGATTTATGAGCAAACACAGAGATACAAATTCACTTAATCCAAGGCGTCAGGCCAGTTAACAAAAAATATTTTATTTTGGCAAGATATTTAAGAAAACCATTTCGACACGTTTATTTTATTTATTTTTAATTAATTAACTTTTAGTTTTATTTTATGTCACTTCATTTTATTTTATTTTATTTTATTTTATTTTATTTTATTTTATTTTATTTTATTTTATTTTATTTTATTTTATTTTATTTTATTTTATTTTATTTTAATTTAATTTAATTATTTTGATCTAATTTATTTATTTATTATTTTTATTCTTATCATAAAATTAATTGTTGTCATTCATTAATTCTGCTTGCTCATATGACATCCTATCTCAGGTTTCGCAGCAACTCACTGCACATAGATTTACTCAATAACAATCTCGAATGGCCATATAAGCAACTGCCAGTGGAGCTCAGCTGTTATGACCTCACAGAAACAGGCGTGTCCTGCACGTAAATAAAGTGCAATTTATTGCATGTCTTCTGAAGTTACTCACACGCCGCTGAGGAGAAATAGATAAAGTGCAGAGCAGAAAAACATTAATCAAATCACAAGGACTTGCTGTAGATTTCGTGTTTAATGCATTCGGAAAGTTTAATTACTCTGTGGGCAATATATGGTTTCTTTAGCGAAAATCTACAAACGATCATAAACTTTACGGTACCGAACCCAAATAGTTCAAAATTGAGGAAAAGTTTTTGAATTTTGAGGTTATTTTTAATTAAAAATATGGATGTTACTCACATTTTGTGCACTTGTTGAGCCATTGGAAGGTGCTCCAGTTGTCTTTGTTGTTATTGCCGATGCCGGTGTATCACCACAATTGGAATTGCTGTTAGCAACACTGCTGGCCACTATCGGATTATTATTACCAGCAACTGTTGCAGTCGATGCACGACGACTACCGTTATTCCGATTGCTTCGACTGTTGGGCGAGGAATTGTTGTGCGAGCTGTTGGCGAGGAGCGGCGAGGCGGGTGGCGTTGGCTGGTTGATGGAGGGTTGGGTAGTGGAGTTGGAGTTGGAGTTGGTTGGCGGAAGTGAGGGGCCCGTTCTGTTGCGTAGACGGGCCAAAGCACTCCTTAGGCCCTCCGTATTGTTTTTGTCGGGCCCCTTGCCAAATAAAATGCATCCACAAAACACTTTGAATGCTTTTGCATGTGCTTTGGACTAATACATATGTAAGTTTGTATGAATGTATCAATGTCAATATGTTCGATGTTGAATTTTAAAAAAAAAACTTCCTGTTGGAGAAAGTTGCAATAGTAAAACCGAAACACAAAATATATAAGCGACTATAGTAGCAATTATTGATTTGAAAAAAAATCAAGTTTTCAAATTACTTTTAGTTTTCTAATTTCAAGTTCACATTTATATTACTATGGAAACACACACAATCCCATGAGTTTGCAATCGACGAAGGAAAATAGTATTGGCATTAAGGCTCATTTTGGCGAGCCCAATAGCGAGTTATGCATCAACCACAGTGCAATTATGAAAACGTCCTGAAAGAAGGAGAAATTGAGAATAATTTAATCATGATTAAATTTAAACTAAAAATATTAAAAATTTATTAAATATTTTAATAAAAAAAATATTTTTTCCATCATGATTTCTTGCATAAAACACTCAAAATAGCAACAAATTTTTCAGGCTTATTTGCCTAGCTTTAAGTACTCAAAAAATACAATACCAAAGGCCAAACGTGCAAGGATTCGCGGCACAGAAATAAAAAAATTTACCGGAAATACAAATGAACCGACAAGCAACCGAAGGCATTGACAATGTTGATGTTGGTTTTGTTTTTATTGTTGCCAAAACTTTTTTCTTTCATATCAACTCTGAAGCCACACTTACACACTCGTAATTGTGTTTCTTTTGCATATGTATGTATGTACATATGTAAGTGCCTGTCAGCAGTGCTGTGTAGCCAAACTTTCGTGTCTGAAAGCGATACTTAAGGACAGCGCTTTTTGCTTTTGGCGCCAATAAGGGGCTCACTGCGGGTTCTTGAAGTTTTGCTTTATTTAATATTTATAGATCAAAACTGGAACACATTATTGTGTGTCTTCTTCTATATATTAAATTCTCATTCATACTAAATTAATATATTTTGACAAATTTTTATTACTTTTATTTTCATTATTTTTCAGCTTTTGAATTTGAGTTAAATACCTTTTCTAAAACAAAAAAAGACTAACTAAGTCTTAATAAAATTTGTTATACAATATCAGATTTTTATTCTGCCCCCAACTATTATTAAAGGCTTTAATTGCCTCTTAATTTGAATACTGTAAATATTCCGACTCAACCTTTTTCTTCGATGTTATTTCGCCTCACTTTAATTTGTAGAGTTTTCTACCCTTTCGTGAAATTTTTTCTATTTAGCATTGCAATAAAAAAAATATGTGTCATGCAATTCCTGTAAAATACTTCATATAATGAAATTTATGCAACAGAATTACTGACAGGAATTGAGCTTAAAAGCATCTACTACTCTTATTAATTTAAATAAAAAAAACTTTCTATGTAGGTGGCAACCTTCTATTCGATTAAAGGCCCAGTGATTCGGATTGTGCTCTGCCATTCGGAAGGTCATAGTCGAGTCTTGGTCCGACCAGCATACAAAACAATAGAAGACTAATTCAAATATAAGTTTCCTAATTGCGGTCGCCCCCGACCCCCCTGGTAATGTCAACAGCAACACTCAAAACCACAAATTGGAGGAGGAGCCCAGCCGAAAATCACTTTAGCGGTTATGATGCGCAAGTTGTGTATATCTATATATGTACATTTTATTAATTAATTAAGAGTAGCTGCAAAGTTTTCATAGGTTTTCTTCAACCTGGACTTCGCTAAAACTACCAATTGCACTGCTGAACAGGAAAGCTTTTTCCATTGTGTATACAAAAATACTAGTTAACTAGTTTCAATACGAAACGTCTTATTTTGATGTGAATATTTTCTTCAGAATGAAATGTTAAACAAACAATTAGATAAAAATTTACGATTTTATTCTTTAGTTTTCGCCAGGAACTTCCTGTGGTTTTCCCTTGTATCATTAACAAAAGGCCTCCTTAATCCACCACACATGGTGACATAGGTACATTTAATTAACCCTTTATTTAGTCTAAGATGAGTTTTTATTACAAAAAAATGTGCAAGTAAAGGGTTTTTGTAGATATGTGGTTTTCGAGAAGAAATTTAATTTACTGCCATTTCATGGTCATGCTTTGTTACAAAGATAAAGGTGCGTCATTATGTTTCAAAATTGATTTCAAGCTGGCTGTAATTTATTCGACCTCTTTCTCCAACAATCGGGCCCACATGTCAGCAACAAGGCACTGAATTGTCTCTTTCAGGGCGTCAACCATATCGAGCTTATCTGCTTAGAATAGCCACTTCCTATCCCACAATCCCACCAAAAATAGTCCACTGGTATTGAACGTTCTTGGAGGCCACGCTACGTTCGTATAACGCGAGGTAATGAGCTCACCAAAAGTTTTCTTCAATCCATTGATTGTTTCGCTGGCAGAAACAGAAACTTTACAAAATTGAAATTATTAATTAAATACTTGAAACAGCAAGAAATTTTATTGCTGCAATAAGCGATTTATTACCAAAACTTGATCCAAATTAAGAGTGCGACAGTCAAATTTACTTTGAAATAAGTTTGAAACTTTTCAAACGCAACAAAAAGAAAAAACAAAAAAAACAAAAACAAAAGGAAAAACGAAAGGAAAGCCATGAAGTCGAGAAGAAAACAGTTTTAAATGTCAAACGCAGTGACAATTTTGGTTCAATTTGAAAAGTGCTTGCTGCGGCAATTGACTACCAGCAAATAAAGTCAACAGGCCAATCGGTTGTCAGAAACAGAGAGAGCACGAATTCGTCAAAGGTTTCGCTCACCTCTATTCCTCATTCTCAATTATTTATGTCGATTTATGTATATTTACGAAGTGTTGTTTATTGTTTTTTTATCGTCATATTGCCAAAAAGTAAAAACTAACGAACAAATGTATTTAATTAGCTGCTAAATCAGAGGGCGATGTTTGCACTTGAGACAGTAAATCAAAGCAGTGGAAAAAATAATAAAATAAGAACTTGATTATTCAGATGGTGGGGAATGCCGTTATGCCATGGAAAAAGTTTACTCATTTCGTGCGTGCAACCTAACGGTTATGGTGGCAGAGTCGCCGGTGTAGGTGGTGAGGCGCAATCATTTCGCTTGTAGAGTTGCTGATCGGTTTGCACTCGAAACCAAGCGAAGCAAGCCCACTACGGCGTGCCATGGCGTGTTGGCAATTAAATGGCGTGAAAGCGATGAGTACACACTTGAGGTGCCGAGACGCGTTTAGACGCACATTTGCGTAAAGAGTGCATAACGTGTTGTAATGTAAGAAGGTTGTAACTCAATTTAAAAAATATGGCTGCCACAAACGTCGCTCTTAAAACGTGAGTTTTTTAAATTACTATTAATTTTATAATTTTTATTTTAAAAGGAATACATTTCACCATAGCCATGTAAGCCTCGGCGACACTAAATATATACCACAACTTTTTTTTTGGTCAATACCCCACAATGCTCGGCCATGAAATGATGATTTGTATTTTAAGTTATGATAATTTTAATGAAAAAAATTTATTTTTCGTGTAACTTACATACATATACGAGTATTTTTTATATGGGAAACTGTGAATGCTTCAGCAAGAAATCCAATCCGGGTAGCTTTTTGCTCACCCTAATGTACATAAATATATATTAAACTTTAATTTTTGGTACAGTTTTTTATAAGCATTTACAATCAAATACATGCAAAGTGTTACTTATTATTTTTGATTATCATATATGCGTATATATTTATATACTTATATACCATAAATAAAAATTTCATCACGGTTATGTATATAATTATGTGTGCGTAAGTCTGAGTCATGGTAAACAGTTTAATATGAAAAAATATTAGCATATGCAAAGGCGCCAACTGTATGCATGTGCTTGTATGTATGTGTATATGCATATGAGAGTATGCGTACAGTTCGCTGGTAGCAGCTGTGAAAATACTAAACACCAAAAATATGACAACGAATATATTCATGGCAAATAAATAAATATATGTATGTATGAATACACGTAGGTGATATAACATATGTTACCTTTTTTCCACCATCAAAAGTGTGGGAAAGAACTTTAAATGAATCCAAAGCTCCGTTCAACATTTTTCTTTGTTTCTTTCGCAATTTTCTTTTATGCATTCTCAATCGCACGCATAGCTTAGGTGCATATAATAAATATGAAATGTTTTCAACTTTTTCCGAAATACTAGTTTTTGTTGCTTCTATTTCGGTCGCGCATAGGTACACTAGGGTGTGCGCAATTAAGCTATTCGATTTTATTTACCTCTTTGTCCACTCTGTTTTAAGTACAAAATCTCTATATATCTATATACAAGCACATAAAAGCTCAGTAAAGCTCCAAAAGTTACCGATCGATTGACTTAAAATCAGTAACCTTCCCGGGAAGATTTATAAGGACTAAAATCTGGAAGTGGATCAGGCACAGACCTATTTGCTGTTATTTTTAATTGACATTTTTTTATGGGATGGATATCAATCTGTTTGACAAAATATACATAAACATGGTTCGATTTGCTTAAATTTTTGGATCATATGTATGAATGGAATACTTCTGTTTCCAGGAAAAACTTGAGTGTGAATAAGCATAGATTCAAATAGGATTGGGGGTTTTATAACTTTTGCCAATACAAACTGGAATAAAAATTGAACAAAATACAGAAAGACACAGCAGCGTGTAATCGGATTTACTAGTTTAAAGTAAAGAGAAATTATTCAATACAAACATTCAAAAAGTCTCTTCACATATATAATTTTAAGATTCCTAAGATTCCTCTTGGTCCATATTTTATATGTAAACGAAATTAAAATCTTACTTGTTAAATAACAAAGACCCTAGTATGAATACGCAACATTTTTGTTCACCGCTTTCTTTACTATTCTATTTACTATTTTTATTCGGTTCAAGGCCTTTCGTGCGATACTTCGCGTTCAAAAAGAAATAAAAAACATTTTTGCACACCTCTTTTATTTATTTATTTCAATTATAATCGCATTTTTCAACACATATATATGTAAGCACATGTAGATTTCTTCTATTTATAAAGGTAGTGTTAAAAAACGAAGCATTGATACATATACAAGGCGCGTTCCAAAGTAAACAGGACTTTTCAAAAAAAGACAGAACAAATGGTTTTATGGGCAAAATCAATTAATTTTATTCAAAATAGTATCCTTCTGCTTTAATACAGCATTTTTCCCGGTCCAAAAGCATGTCTAACGCCATTCGGTATGGCACACCAAACGCTTCAAAACTCTAAGGTAGAATACCGCATTAACGTTCAATTCTATTTCTATGAATTTCAATGATGATTTCGGCTGATTTTTTATGAATTTACGCACAGTTTCGATGGAATTTTCGGTGATCATTGTTTTTTGTTTGCCCACATGTTCATCGTCATTTATGACCTCACGACCACTTTGAGAACGTTTAAACTATTCGTGCACTCTGCTACGGGATAGGCAATCATCGCTATAAACTTGTTTCATCAATCGGAAAGTTTCGGTAAAAGTTTTACCAATTTCAAAACAAAATTTAATGCTCTTTGTCCGAAGCTCATTTTCGCCCCGATGACAAAAACATACAGACACTTAAAACGCAATTCCTCATTTCCAATAAATGAAATGAAATTTTTACTGGAAGTCTACAAGGGATAGCTGATTCTAACGCTTTAGTCGACATATAGATGACGCCACTAGAGGGCACTAGATTCAAAAAGGCGTGTTTACTTTGGAACGCAACTCTTTCGCTTATTATTATTTTTTATATTTATTTGTGTAATTTTTTTTGTTACGGTAAAATATTTCAATAATGAGTTATGATTTTTTCTTCAAAAGTGTTTTAAATAACAAAGATTTCCTAAGACACACCATTGCGTGTGAGTGAGAAGGGATGAGAAAGTCTAGTAACTGCTTCAGTATTTATGGCGATTTCAAAGCACTCAAATTCTGGTTTTATTCTGCGAATTCAAGTGCCTGTGGTGAGTTTCTATTTATTTATAGACCAACTTGCAGTTGTTTTGTATGTTACACGTACATACACACATTTAGTTATATATACATCATTTTTTATTTTTTGCTCGAAGCTCCAAAAAGGATTTAATCCTTTTAAAACCCGGCTAAGACGTAGCAGGTGGTATTTTATACCGGTGCTAGAAGATGAAATGGAAAAGGATTGTTGAAATTTATTTTTATGTCAAAAATACAATACAAACGTACATAACTTTGGGGTGCGTTCTCCCGCATTTACACATTTCCGTACCATTGAATAAATAATCATGTTGTAACATTCATAGGGCACTCACCTCAGTTTCCTTTAACTCAGAACATAAAAAGGTGCGATTTTCTAATAGAACTCGTTTTAATTGGGCAAAAAATCCCAAAGAAACTTCAAGCAACGGATTTGCTCTCAAAAATATTAAAATTGCTGTTGAGTAAAATGTCTCTTTGCAGGTACAATCGACAGCTTTTTCGACATACCCGTAGCGTTCAGAAAGATGTAAGAAGATGTAAGGAATTAGACATGCTCAGGAGAGATATTCGCAGGGAGTTGCCATGCTTACAGCCCATGTTGACGACATCTCAGTATGCTATAAGCGTTTAGCAACTCTCGGAAAATCACGCATTTAGAACCATATACAAGGCGACCTTTTCAGCATGACCAAAGGATGATACTGATAAAACAGATTTTTTATTACAAGGAAATACAAAATTCCAGCTTAGATCAAACCAAAGCTGGAAGACGCCTCTTTTTAGCTGAAACCTAGAACTAGGTACTCGGAAATCGTGTTGGAAAGCAAGTTGTCGTGAAGTCTCTATGCAAAAGGGTGAGTGAAGAAGGTATCAGTGGATCTTCGTTGCGATTGTAATACTATGGAAGCCTACGGTCAAGCTTTCAAGCGACCACAAGTTCTTAATTTCATACAGCACAAAGTCTTTGCATTTACTGGGCGCCTGGTCACACTGGCATTGAAGGCAATAAAAACGCTGGACAGCAGAATATATACTAATTCTCGTGAAACCTACAGTAAAGTACATTTTGTCACAAATATAGAGTTTAAACAAAGTCTTCATAATGCTGTCCTCTGCCCCATCTACATACTCGTAAATACATGTTTTGGAAATAAATTTCGGATGGAGCGAGAATTCCCAAGAAGCATATTATGGTACCCTTTTGGTCATTGTGAATGGTAAATAAAAGGTCATGAAAATATCAAAATTATTAGACGGATTGAAATAAACAAACGCCGACCAGACAAATCGCCAAAGGATATTTTTGCATTGGCAGACAAAATAGCGCAGAAGATAGTATGCAAAATAAAAATAAAAAAGTATGAAACACAAGAAGATCCCAAAGTTTCTAACTACATATACAAAAATAATGAGTACCGAGATAAATTGGCATTTTTTACTTATACAAATATATGTGTGTGCATGTTCATTTATGTATTATATCAATTTTAAAAAAAATTCTTGGAACTCTCCAGTTCGGCATTTTACAAAAATCATCTTTTTATGCCCGTTGCCCTGCGAAACCAAACCATTCTGAAAGCAATTACATACGAATATGTAAATATATCCACATTAAGTGAAAAAGTTGTATGTGCCTGCCTTTCTAGCATCCTTGGGCCTCACTTAGTTGCTACTTTATGCGGTGTCCTTTGCTGTGTCGTTTGTGTTTTTTGTGGGCATGAAAAAGCTAATTTGCATATTCATCATTTTAATTGCTACAAGCATACATATTTATGTACAAGGGCTTCTTATATACTTCTAAGAAATGTCGAAATTTGTAAATAATAAATTCAAATGAGCAACATTACGCTGACCTCAATTGCTTCTCTAAATTTCGCTTCCTTACTTAATGTATTGCTTGCTAAAAAATATTTGCCAAATGTTTTGAATTATTATTAATTTTTGATACTTCTTTGAGGACCATAACGAGCGGCAGCAATAGCGGACTGATTAGCAGTGACTACTGCCAATTCGAAGGTCAGTGTTCGGTCTTGGTTCGACCTACATCCTAAGTTTTTCTCACTGCCTTCGCTCCTTGACAAAGAATGTTACGCTCTCCAAATGTATTTCCAACATGAAATAAAAGCTCTTCGCGAAAATCCATCGGCCGTTCGGAGGCGGGTCCAGTTATTGGAAAATCATAAAGACACATACCACAATTTGGACGAAGAGCGTGGTCAAAAATCGTTTCATATTTATTATATATACATATAACCATAATATGCATACATATAAAAAAATATATATTAAAACCTTTTTATTATTTATTTCTGAGTCACTATAAAAAACTAGTGAGAGCTCATATCGGTTAGCACATTAACGAAGCTTATCATCACATTAAAACACCTAAAGCATTTTATTGCCCAAGGATATACATAAATATTTACATGCAATACCGTAAAAAAGTTATATTTGGAGTTATGTGCATATGTACATACGTCAGTGTAAATAACTGTGACTAAGTGGATGATTTCCCTTATCATGAAACGCAATATCTTTTATCAGTAGAGACTACTTTCAGTCGAACAAATGACGTTCCCCTGAAGTGACTGGCTATAGATATGCGTCACCATATTGGGATTGGAATGTCATGAAATTCACGCAAACTGTAAGCAATATAGGCTGTTATGTAACCAAAAAAGCAGCTAAACAATTAAGCAAAAAAATGTAGAAATTGAAAGTGAAATTTCCACCAACAGTTGATGTTTGAAATTGCTCGCATTTGAACAAGAAATCAATTATCTACAACAAACAATACATTTCATCGATTTCATATTAGTTCCAGTAAAAAGCAAGCCAATATAGAAGGCTTTATATATCATAGTTAGAATCATCCGACTTATTTATTTTAAATATGCATCCTTGTGCTCGATAATTTTTTCCAAAAATATTTGATAATCGATTTATAAGTCAATTCTCGATCAACCAAATCAATCGCCATAGACAAGAACAGATGGTGATCATTTGGCGCAAGGTACGAACTATAAGGTGGATTCATAAGAGCCTCCCAACCAAGCTTTCTGAGCTTCTGGCGAGTCTCCACCTTTGCGAATGGTTTGGCGTTGTTATGATGAAACATAGTTACATTTATGTTGCCAAAACTGAAAGGTTCTGGACGATTTTTTCCTTCAGGCGCACAGCGCGACCAAATTCAAATTTAAAAAAGTTTCCAGTTTGTGCTTCATTATATTTGAGTTAGTTAAAGAGATCCACCGAGAGACAAAAACCGTTTCCAACGAGGAAAAAGTATGTGTTAAATATATTTTAACCTTGATAACGATTGATACTAAAATATCTAATGCTCTCTCAGATACAACATCTGCAATGCGTTGCTATGTATGTTATGTGTAAAAGTTTCAACGATATAGATAAAGTTTCAATCCAAGAACTTGTTACAGATTGTCATATAAACTGGAAATCTTAACAGGCAGGCACGTGCAAACGAAGAAAAAGAATTGGTCGAAAATATGCAAAGAATGATACAAGCGAATGATAGATTGAATGTTGATAAGCCGAAGAGTGGAGGCGACGGATTGTTCTCAAAATTACGCCATACCATTTTTCGTTTCTTTGGGAAGCCATTGCAATCATAATCGGTGTATCCCGGCTATGGTATTTAAATTTTTATTTCTGAATAATATTTCAGCAAAGGCTCCCTGCTTTTCTTGTTTTTGTGTTCTTCTAATTTTTTTTTTGTCCTTTTTTTCTTTACTTTACTTTAAGTACAGATAATAGAGATACAAGAAAATATGTTAGGCATAATTTTTTGAGCACACAAAGAGAAGTAAGGAATTACAGGAACTTTGTTTCTTATGGCTTAGAGAAATTTTCATTACTTTTTTTCTTCAATAAATAAAAAAAAAACTTTTTGAGCCGTTTTTGAGTATTTTAGAAAGCTTTTTGCAAACGTTGCTACTTTAGCACGGCTGGCAGCCTTCACTACTCTCTTCTTCAAATTAAAAACTTAATCTAAGACTCAACACAATTTTATTATTGAAATTCCAACGCTATTCATTTTATTTTACTTGAAATGCGAAAAAAGTATTTTTCCAACTACCAGCATTCTGAATTTTATATCTGTAAAATAATAAATATTTAAAACCTCAAAATACATTTTATCTTTCTCCACAATATTTAAAGCGAGTAAAAGATGAATTTTCGCCATATATTATATTTGGGGTAATTATAGTGCATACAATTTTACAACAATGTCTAGTATATACGAGTATGTTACATACATAAATCTAAACGTGTATGACTGAACAGAGTGATTGAATAGGAAATAGATCGAGAAATAGCTTGCCATTGAAATTGTCAACTTTTGCGGCTAACTTACATACAAACTTACACTCATAGAGATTCAAACTCATACATGTGTATTCCTGTCAAACGAGATCTGCTAATTTGAACTGTATTTAAAAGTTATTAAATTACTTATGTCACTAATCTAATGTCATTACGAACATCCAACACTACAATTCAGCAATCCAAACAAAGTTCGAACAACTTTCAACAACTTTCGTAATGAACATGCATAAGAAATTGTTGAGAATACACTTATTGTATTTGTATTGAATGTTATGCTTTTATATGTACGAGTATATGCAATAGTGTATGTGTCTATCCACCAGCGAAGTTTGTACAAAGAACACCACACTTACTTTTGGCGCAAAGTTGAATGAATAACATGAAGTGTAACAACCATAAATCATTGTGAGCAACATATATGTACATATGTATGTTGTTTATAGATCAACATGTACGTCGGTGTGTAACTTTTTTTTTATCAGCACAACACATTGTTGTACTCCTGCGCTCATTAATGTTGGCGCTACATTTTTTTTTTTTTAATTATTTCTCATAAGCAACTACAAACACAAATGTATGCATGTAGTAGTCCAATAGCAGCTAAAAGTGACGCACTTAATATAAGGTGACAGCAAGTTTATTCGCAGCAGCGTCGTTTAGGGAAATATAAAGCTAAAGGCATCAAGTTACTCACACTATGATAAGAACAAACTGAGACATGGCTAATGGCGAATAGCGCGCAATTCATTTCTTATTTTCAGTGTATGGCGTCAGTTGGAAATACCACCTGATCTTTCCAAAGGAGTAAAGGTCTTCCTTTCCTCTTCTTCTGGCAGCGGGTACAGCATCAAATACATTCAAAGCTAGAGTGCTTTCATCCGTTCGGACGAGGCCGTTGCCAATGCACAAAGAGACATAAACCGTTCGCAGAACTTTTACATCGAAGACTCCCAAGGCCGACTCATCAGCTGTTGTCATTGTCCATGCCTCCGCCCGATATATTAGGACGGGCATAATGAGCGACTTGTAGAGTTTGACTTTCGTTCGTTGAGAAAGGACTTTTTTTCAAATGCCTCGTCAGTTTACAGGAGCACCTGTTGGTAAGAGTGAGTCTACGTTGGCTTTCAAGACTCATTATTATTATGAGTGTTAGTGCTGGAAGATTATGCCACAAACTTTATCATTTCTATTTCTACTTTGTTTCGAAAACATCCAGCCTTTATCAATGTACTTAGCTCCTGAACATATTGGTGATGTGAATTTTTTCCCAAATGCAACGCTCCAATTGCTGTGCTATCGGGAGTTTTAGACGAGGCTCACCAGTTGATGTTTCTACGACCACGGATGAAGTAGAAAAACCAATGTTTTATTGTTGATTCTGATAGAACATAGTTCTTAAAACAATTACTTTAAAATATTAAAAAAGTTGCTCTCTTTTGCAAGCTGGGAAAGTGAGAGGGCAATTAGGATGAAACGCAGCTCTCATTGATATGGAATTCCAAAATGTATTGATATCCATAACTTGCTTTCTTATCCGACCAGCTGAATTTCTTAATTTTCAAATAATACCGATATTTAGTTGGAATGAAGAAGGGGCAAGTAGGCGCTGATCCAACATACACAAATTTGGCAGACGAGCATAATTCAACCATAAAGGGTGAAGAGTGAAAATGTGTAATTAAACTAAGGAATAAAATATGTGCTTATGTGTATATGTAATTAAATTAAATTTAATTGCAACGCTATAATTGAACAGCAAAACTGCTCACATATTTTTGTACATACATACATATTATTGCTTCAACTTATTTAATGCCATTGGCAAATATTACTTTATTACGTCAGATATAAACTCCATATACACATACATACAGATAAAAATAACTTCCTAGTAGAATCGTTTGTATATTTATGATCTTGGATATTTATACTACTATTACTCGTATAATGAAAACACAAATTTATAAAAAATAAAGGATTTTGGGGTATTTTTCTCAACGAAAGTGAATAAATTGAAAAGTAGTTATCATTGTAAATCAATTTGAGATATACCCGTACAATTTTTTGCTTTCTACT